GGTTTTTCTTACAAGAGGGTGGCCCAGGTGAGGCCCAACCCCTGAGCACCCTGGTTATCCCAGCACCGAGCCCACTCTTTACCTGAGCTATCCAGACGGCAGGGCCCAGATTTGCACTTCTTGTCTAGAGGAAAGAAACAGGGAAGAGTCAGAGCCTCAGTAGCTCTCCCGGTGGGAAGGGCCCTGGTGCCCTGGCGGCCCTGCCCTGACTTGCTCTAGAAAAAGCCAGTGTGTGTACCTCACTCTGCTCTGTAGGGTGGGACCGCCCTCTCTTGGCTACATTTGACAACCCTGAGCTAGCAGGCAGTGGGGCCAGAAGTCAGGGTCTCTTCTGAGCCACCCCTGCTCCCTGGGCTGTGATTTTACCCCCTGGCCACGCTCATCCCTCCCCCTCCCTTGCCTTGTCCCTGCCAGGGAGAGCTGGTCTGCATTGTTGGCCTGTCCTCAACACCGCGTCGGCTCCTGACCACCCACAGTGCTGGCCAAATGGGACTGGAGCCACACTGGACCGCCTCCCACTTTAGTCCCAGTTACGGTTTCAGCCAACTATCTGCTTCTGCCTATGAAAACCAAGCCTTATGCAACCAGCCAGAAATAGCAGGCCACAGCCCTTCAGAGATAAAAATACTAAGCTGGCTATGGTCGCACGTGCCTGTAATCCCAGCACTACGGAAGGCTGAGGCAGGAGGATTGCAAGTTTGATCCTAGCCTAGGCAATTTAGCAACTTAGTGAGGGCTTTTCTCCAAAAGGAGAAGGGCTGGAGATGTAGCTCGTCACAAAGACCCTGGGTTCCAGCCCTAGTCAGCCCCTGCCCCATTCTCATTATTCCTCCTCTGACAAACCCTGGAGAATGGACAGGAGGAACGGCCAGCACCTGCCTGGTCAGAGCTGGAACTGGAATCTAGAGGCACAACACGCACCTGTGCACACTCAACCGCCCAGGACACCACAGCACATCAGTCCTATTCTGCCTTAGAAAAACACCCTGGAGCCTATAATCCCAGCACTCGGGAGGCTGAGCCAGGAGGAGCATTGCTGGGAGTTCGAGGTCCGCCTGGGCTACAAAGTGAGTTCAAGCTAGGCCGAACTGCATAATGAGACCCTGTCTGAAAAAGACAAATAAATGGACCACCCTGGAAACTCGGGTTGGGGATCTTACTCATTTTTGGCAAGAGCACTCTGTGTTGATCCTGTGGCTAGAAAACAATTCCCTCCCAGCTTTCAGCCAGGAAGGGAGGCTGGTTCAAGACCCCTGCCTTGGTCAGGGAGCCCTCTTTAGCCTTGCAGCGGCAGATGGTCTTCCGGGGCTAGAAGTCTAGGTCTCTCCTTACATGGAGTGGTGGAGAGGCTGGTGCACACGTCCTGTTCTCCTCACTGCTGGTTTGCTTTTTGTGCTCACGCACACACCTCTTGGCCTGGACGAGGAAGCCCGCCTTTCACACAGGTGCCACTCCGTACCCTCCTCACCTTTGATATACTCGCAGTTGAACATGCTGCGCTTGCCCAGGGCTCGGAGGTAGATGCGGGTAGGGCCCTGGGCCGGTCGGCTGGCATTGATCACCTGGAAGGTCTCAAAGGGCGGGATCAGCACCTCTTCCTCTCCAGGGAAGAAGGAGTAGCCTCTGATAGGAGCCCCTAGGCAGGTCCAGATGCCAAAGAAGGTGTCCTGTCCAAACTGCTGGGCTGCGACATTCTGCAGGGATGCAGAAGCAAAGCCCCCCAGCCTTACTGTTGCCCCGGGCCCTGCAGGCCGGAAACGCAGGCCATGCACCCCTCGGTACACCTGGTGGCACCGGGGTGGACGCTGGCCTGTGCCCAGCAGCTGCAGGGCCTCTGTGAGTAGGAAATGGAGTGTCTTGAAGGAGAAGTGCTGGAGGTAGTGGGCCCGGGAGCGGCCCGCCTCGCGCACGGCTGCGTTGAACTCCTTGTGCAGGGGGCTGTTGGCGGTGTAGGCCAGGAGTGCCACCCCATGCGCATCCTGGAAGCCAGGGGGCGCCGGAGGCGGCCGAGTAGCGCTGAGGCCCCACACTGGCCCCCAGGCCTGGCGCTCCTGCCACTGGCTGCTGGCCAGCGCCCAGCCGTCCGCGTAGACTCTGTTGGCCTGGAACTCTGTGTGGTTGAGTTCCGGGAGGGCAGCTCTCATGGCCGCTGCACAGCCCGCGTACTGGTCGTCAAAGGAGGCCAGGGCCATGTCCAGGGGTATTTCCTGAGAGAAGAGGTCCCGTCGTGTGATGGGGTGCCTCCGCACCTGGGGGAGAGACGATGAAGCCCTGTCACCCTGAGGTAGGGTAGAGGAAATAAAGATAGAAAGGAGACAAGGAAAATCATAACTAATTGTACTTTTGAAAAGATTGCAAATTCCGGGACCCAGTCAAAGCCACCCAAGGTGATCCAATCCGTGTGGGTGTCCTTAGGTTAACTTAGGCTCCTTTTCTTCTGCTCCCATCACATCCAGAGCACTTCAGGGATAGTCTAAGTCCTGAAGTGGCTTAGCTGAGAGGGTAAAGAGCAGAAACGTAGGGGCTGGGGTTTTAGCTCAGCAGCACAGCACCTGCCTGGCAAGCGCAAGGTCGTGAGTTCAATTCCTAGTACTGGGGGTGGCGGGGGTGGGGGAGCAGAAACCTGATTTTAAGATGAAGGAATAGCCAGGTGTGGTGGCACACGCCTGTAATCCCAGCACTCGGGAAGTTGAGGCAGGAGGATCGTTGCGAGTTCAAGGCCAGCCTGGGCTACAAAGTGAGCTCAAGTCCAGTCTGAACTGCATAGCGAGACCCTGTCTCAAAAAGACAAAAAAAAAAAAAAGATAAAAGAATAGACTGAGAAAATTCAAAGAATGATTAAATTATCCATCTAAAAGCAAAACAAAACAAAAAAACCCTAAACTGAGCTTCTACCTGTAAAATGGGTCAGTACCCTTCCTGGCGTGAGCCAGCTTTACCACAGGTTTTCACCCTCTGGAAAGAAACATTCCCAGTTCTGAAAGAAAGCATGCCTCTCTCTCTCAAGGGTCTGCACTCTATTTTTCTGTGTACTTTTATAATTCTTCCCTATAAATTTCTTTATGCCTCTTTCTGACTGACCCTGGGACATTCTCTTTCCATGATGGGAGTCAGTGAATCTACAACTTACTCTATGGTAGAGAGGGTTTAGGGTCCTTATCTCTGCTTTGTCACCTCTTCTGGTGACAGGGGCTGGGGATTTAGCTCAACAGCACAGCGCCTGCCTGGCAAGCGCGAGGTTGTGAGTTCGATTCCCGGTACCGGAGAAAAACAAACAAAGAGAAAAACTAAAGAAAATAGTCAACTATCTTCTGGTGACAGCCCAGCTGTCCCTCCCCTGAGGTGGGGCTTGTGCTGAGAAAGGCCAAAGGCCTGCAAGCCCCTGGGAAGCGAAAGGATTGGGAGCTGCTGGCTGTGTGCGCCTCAGTGCCAGCGCCTGGGGCTGTCCCTTTACGTGGAGCCACCACCCCCAGGGGAAGCTTGGGCATTCTTTTTCCCCTTTTCAGGGTTCAGCTCTTCCAGGATGGGGAAGGTGAAGGGTGGCCATACCTGAAGGGCATCCATGAGGCTCACAGACACAACAAGCAGCAGAGACAGCATGGCAGGAATCTGCATGTTGGAGGTGAGCCTCGGCAAGTTGGTTTCCCTTTGTGGGTCTCAGTTTCCTGATCTGGAAAATTGCAGTGGTAATACGCACAGTTGAGTAAACTGACACGTCGTGTGTGCCACAACCAGTGCTTGGGACAGAGTATCACAAAACAGAAATGGAGGCTCGGAGGAGAGAGGGGAACTTTCTTGTCAGAAGGAATATGGGAGACTTCCTGGACCAGAGGATATATGAACAGGGTCTTGCAGTATGAATAGGAGAAGAAGACATCAGCAAGTTGAGACTGGGAGAGCACAGACTGGAGTTTGGGGAGGAAAGGGGTTTGGGGCAGCAGGAATAGATAGAATGAAGGCACCGGAGGTAAGAGCTCTGAGGCTGTGGAGGGAAGGACACGTCCGGTCTGGCAGAGCTTGCAGTGGGGAAATGTTGGGGATAAGACCAGTGGGGAAGGGACTTGACTACCATGGGAAAGGTCGGGGCTAACCTTTCCCGAGCCAGAGGGCAGCGCAGGGGCAGTTCCTGGAGAGGTCAGATGTGGGGCCAGGGCTGTACTCTGAGCGTAGGCCTGGGGGCCAGAGCGCCTGTGGTGCACACAGTCACGCAGCCAAGACCTCCTCCAGGCCTCAGCTGCACCCAAGGAGGGGAAGACAGAGACCTCTGGGTGCCAAGGAGGAGCGAGTACAAGGCCCCTGCTTCCCCAAGGGAGCCAAGAAAACCAAAGCCTTCTGCACCCTGAAGGTGGGCACACCGAGGACGACCCAAAGTGCTCTCAGAAGAGGGCCATCCAGTGTTGAGTCAGCACTGGGACAGACGTCCCTAAGCCAGTGCTGCTGCTGCGCTGCCTCTTTTTTCTCCTCTTTTTTTTTTTTTCTTTCTTTTTATTTTATTGCAAAGTAATACCTATTTGCAGTGAGGGAAGTGGTTATATGTTCTTGGTCATAAGTCCAAGGCTCCTTCCTTCTTTCTCTCTCTTTTTTATTTTTTTGTTTTTGTTGCTGTTGTTTTCTTGTCTGGTTGTTTGTTTTTGAGCAGGTCTTGCTATGTAATTCAGGCTGGCCTTGAACTCACTTATGTAGCCCATGCTGGCCTTGAACTCACAGTGATCCTCCTACCTCAGCCTTCCAAGTGCTGGGATTACAGGCATGTGCCACCACACCTGGCTCCTTCTTTCTCTCTCTTCATTCTCCCTCACTCTCCTAGGCACAGCAGCCAGTTGGGAGCGAGTAGCCAGTGATATGGTGGCTCTCAAGACCTTTCTCAGAGCACACTCAAATAATACTTGTGTACACATGTACATATATAGTTTTCTGTATGCAGCTTGTTTTGTTTTTTTAATTGTCATTTTTTAAAAAAGGAATGTATTGGGGGCTGGGTTTTATAGGGGTTAAGTTGCTGACCACAGTGCTCTGAAGACAAGCTAACACCACAGCTGAGGCAGCCAAGGACACAGGCTCTCACTCCCTATTCTAGGGCAGTAATTGTCAACCTTAGAGATAAGACAGTTCTCTTAATTGGCAAAGTTTACTGCTGCAAGTCTTTGTTCTAACTTCTCAAGGTCCGGCTCAGTTTCTCACCTTTCTCTCATGCCCCACTGAACTTATTTGGAATCCAATAAATACGGGCAATGTAGAGAAGTCTTTGTCTTATCTCCAGGAGAGTTCTGACCTTCCTGGACTCCACAAACCATATTAATTTCTTCTTTTATTTAAGCCTTTGCTATACACTCATTTTAGGAGATTGGGGGGCTGCCAAGCTTCCATTAGGAATGTTCTTAATCCTTATACATATGTATCCTGTAGTCCCCCTCTTCCAGGAAACAGTACAGCATGGGCTTCTTCCCCACCAGTACATACAGATACCTGATTCACTGCAGTGGCAGCACAGTGTGTCTCATGATATAGTTCAACCGTATGTCACACACTTGCATTTCTTCCTAATTTTTATATATTACATATAATCTACAGTGAATATTCATTATATAAATTCTTGTCTACTTATGCTCATATTTTTATAAGAAAGAGTTCCAGAAGTAGAAAGAGATTTGAACGATGTGAGTATTTTCATTTTGACAGGCACTGCCAAACTGCCATTTAGCCTGATGTGGTGGCACATTCCTATGATTCCAGCACTCAGGGAGGGTGAGGTAGGAGGATCATCAGTTCAAGTCCCTGGGGATCACCTGGGCAATTTAGCAAGATTCTGTCTCAAAATTTAAAAAATAAATAAACAAAAGGGCTGGGAATGTAGCTCAGTGGGTTTGATTCCCAGTACTGCAAAACAAAACAAAACAACACAGCAAAACAAATAAATTTCACTTCAAAAGGTACCAGTTCACTGCTTCTCCCCACACACATCAAGTGAAGGAGAGTGCCTTTTTCTCCACATCTTTGCGAGTGTTGGGTATTTTTGTTTTCTGTTTAACTTTCATTTAACTGTTTTGGAAATATGTATATATTCATGTTACTGTCAATACAAAATCATAAATACATCTTTCATCTCCAAAAGTTTTCTTGTGTGCCTTTTAAAATTTTTGATGTCATTTTGCTCTTGTGCCTGTGTGTGTGGTAAGAACACTTAATGTGAGACCTACCCTCCTAACAAATTTTTAAGTGCCCAGGACCTTATTGTTAACCATAGGCACTATGCTGTACCAGAGCTGACTTTAAAAGCACATCTTACTCATTGTTGTAGTCTATGAACACAGTAGGTGCTCAGTAAAGAGTGCATTGAGAATGTCTTGGACTTCCAGGAAAATGGTAAGCCGCAACAAATCAACCTACGATTTGGAATCTAGACACTGGAAAATAACAACTTGAAGGAGAAAAGGAGGAGGGAGGTGAATCCCTGGGACCCCAGAAGGATCTGAAGGAAAAATTGGCCCTCACAGAGACAGACCTCAGCACGGAAAAAGAAGGGGCTATCTGTACTTTCTCTCTGGCTTCTGGCATGGGAAAGGAAGATCTAACCTACAGAGACACAGTGAAAGTGGAGGTCTCCAGAGGCCTCCACGGAGAAACACGCTAGTAGAACAGAGCAGTGGATGTTGTGTGATGCAACAGTTGGTGAGTGACTCTGGTCGAAGAGACTGCCATATCCCCTGGAGAGAGTGCTTGGTCAGAAGCCATCTTAGGGTGGGTCCAACTGAAGCCCAGGACCCAGAGTAGCTGTGGGTTGGCTTCATCTCAGGGCTCCCAGTGTTAAACTTTCACAGTGACTGGCTGAGGGCCAACCATGAAGACATCCAGGGACAGGGAGCTATAGTCAGGCCAGCAAAAAACATCCTGAGTGTTATAAGCTAAATGACTCAGGCTCCAGTCCCAGGTCCAGAGGCCAGGATCAGACTGAACCTTCATGGATTTGAAAGTATTGGAACC